ATTTCCCAAGTCAGAAGGTGTGAAAAAGTGCAATGCACTAGCGTTCTAGAAAAGGCATTTTGTAATAAGTACGAAATATACGAACAAAAACAGCGATGAGCATTGAAACACACCGTTGAATTAAAACGAATCATACCGTTCCTTTTGCTATATCAGTATTCTTTCAGAACCGAAAGGACACAAACCTCAGAAGATATTCCAAATTATAATTTTAAACTACAAAGCTTGGCTCAACCTACAACATAAAAATTAAATTTGAACTCCAGCTGAGAACATAGACCACAATACCAACATATTTTAAATTGAAAAAACTGTATGATCTACAGGTACACAAACGTACTAACGATTATAACGGCATCAGTAAGTTTCGATATCCGTTTATCGTTGCAGGTTTCGGACGCAGGAGTGTGCTTTGAACGTTTTCTATCCTATGTCAGCGTTTAAGATTCGACAAGTCAAAACTCGAGTCCAAAGCAGAGTCTGTCGGGACACTTGCCCCCGGTCAGTTTTGATCGCCACTGGCGTCTTTGGCCAGTCAGATGAGCGGATACTAGCGGCACCTCCTTCCTTGTTGGAAGCTTTTGCAATGGGTTCATAAACCATCGCCGTTTAGATTTCTCAATCCGGTGAAGGAGCGGTTGCAGTCAAAGGTACTAAGTACATTCTCAGGGCGCTTGAAATCAGCGAATGGTCTTACAAAACCTATATAAACCGCTTGTACCCCAAGATAGAAGCTTTTGTTGCAATGGCCATGACGAATACCACATCTCATGACCGTAGGTGAGAGTAGAGCTCAGCCTTCAGGCTTAACTCTGCCTCAATCACAGCGGCTTGGACTAGTTCACGCAGGACGCCGCTGGCGATTGTAATACGCCCATCAATCTCTCTCCATCACCAGTTTGCACGACACAGAGTTACATAAAATTTTAAATCTATTGAACTGTTTTTTCGTTTATGTTCAGAGCACAAAAGAAAACAAGAAAGCGCTTTGTGTCTTAGACACAGTAACATGCACACCTGCCACATCGCGTTGGGCTGCGAGCGTTTTCGGAGTTTACCGAGAGTACTGGAGAAAGTCTTCAGAAGATGCAGTAAAAACAATGTAATTAGTAAATAACAAAGCTCTAGTTTCTACACGGTATGCCTAGATGTGCTCTCACGGTGGCTGTGTCTGATTATCCTATTCATAAATAAACCCTAAAAGAGCTGACAGAACCATGACAGAACATGACGGAGACCATTGCCAATGTTCGAAGTTCTTCTCTTACGCCGTTTACTCTAACGCGTCGCCCATCATCAACATACGGTGACTAAGTGACTCATAGTTCAAAGTCACTAATACCACATACATGTTTGTTGCGTAGGATCCGCTCATAAATTTTCTCAAAATCCTCAAAGCACATGTAAATGAATGAGTCAAAACTCTCGACTTTTCAACAATTTAATACAAGCTAAGAATCGGCTAAGAGGTGTTTCGGATTGACCTGAAGTCATATTCTTTTTTTTGTTTCTTATAGCAAGTTTTTCCGTTACATCTCCATTCTAATTTCTTTTCTTAGTCTTTCACTTTGTGGCTCGGTGATGCAATGATTCTATATCTGGAGCAGATCTTATTGTCCTTCTTCTATAACAGGTGAACAATTCAAGGAAGTAACTTTCTCAGGTTCATAAGGCATGTGTATTGCCCTTTTTGTCATTATTCCACCTAGTGGAAAGCCTGTGAGAAGCTGGGTAATGAAGGAACAGTTTTAGCTCGTTTTAACTCTAAACACACAACTGTGTAGGTGACTTGTTTGCTGGAGTGAGTAATTCCTGTATTTGTGAGCATATATAATAGAATTCTCCTCTATTCTCATTTACATTCAGCGTTGGAGCCTCATACATTCATTGAGTATATGACTTATTTAGTTAAGCAACATGCATTGCAACTGGGATCAACAAATGTCGTCTGTATCTGCAAGTTTTTACTAGTGTCTGGTAGCTGGAATGTCGGGTCTAATTAGATACTTGAAGCACCATTAGGTACTACCGACACTTTCATTAAAAATAAATTATTTGAAATGTATTGATTTGCTTGTAACGAGACACACTAGTTCAAAAGCATACATTCGTTGACAATTTAGTCATTAAGATCGGAAGCCAAGTTGGACTGATCTCTTAAGTTTCTTCCTGCCTGTTAACATTGCTTTTGTTCTTTTCACGGTGACAGATTTGAAATTCTTACTTTTATGCTGGTTCTTTTGCTGCGTCCAATTTGACGACGTGGTTCTTTAGCATGCCGTGTTCCGCAAGGTTGATCCTTACACACCTGTTCTGCTGAAGCAAGCTGTATGTTCAGGGATCCAATTCTGCAGCTTCCTAACGGTTTCACCAATGCAGCTCTACTCACACGAACAGTTTCTTGAATATCTTATTCGGGCATCTATTTGTTTAGGTACGATGCCCTTCTTAATAATAAATATATTAAAATTTTGCCTCTCATAAGAAGCTATCGCAAACTCCTACTTGTACAGTGCCAAGAGCCACATTATGTCATCTCGAGCAGGGGTTGCTTTATTGCAGCCAAAGTTTTGTCCTGTGATGGCTGTAACAGATGTGCTTAGTGAATTTTGTAAGCGGCTTTTTGCATAGAGTTCTTAGGCCTCAATTATTGAGGCAGGGAGACACTAAAACCATTGACAAGAGATAAACGAAAATCAAAAACGTACCGTTAAACAAGAAGAGGCGAAATTCTTTCATTCATTCTTCTTCCACGGAAGGCATGATTTGCTAAGTGGGATCATGAAGTACAAGTTAACAGAGAAACAGTCGCCGCTCTAATATATGCCATGGACTAATTTTAACCATAGTATAAAGTTGACATTTTCACTAAGTGGGAAATTGCGGAGTCGACATGCATCAGATACGCTCAGACACTGCGATACATGTGTTTTCACAATGTTTATCACGGTCTGATAAGGACTTTTTGAAAATGTATCCCAAGTTGACCGATTGATGCAAAAATGAACGCTGTTAATTTTAACAATCACCCTGCTCATTAGTAGTTGAGTGTTAATCCCATTCTGCGCACAGCGAAAGGTAGCAGTTTTTATATATTTAGTTTTTTTCTTATACGTGATAACAATTATTAATAATTGGATTAGTGATAATGTTGTACAGAAACTTCATTTAAAACTACCTGTTTTTTAAAATAATGCAATCAGTCTTTTGAGAGCGCTAGACACTTCTTGATGGCAGTGCACATGAGCGCCACTTAGTGGAAACCTTTTTATTCTTCATATGTTTTCTGACTTATCCCGTAATGTGACCGACACGAACTCAAGTCGATGCTCCTCCAGCTTTTTCTTGCCTCGGCTTTGCTTCCACCAATATGTAAGTAATTTGACCATCATCCTAGAGTGCTCTTGGACTACCAATGGAAAGTTTTCGGTTCAGGTGAATCCAGGCCGAAATTTTTGAGGTCTGCTGGTAATGTCGGGTGAGTCATTTGGCACGCCCATGTTTTCTTGGCATTGTGGAAAGCAGAAGTTATATCTGTTAATCCTCTCGGATGTTGAATTGTGCTTTCAGAACGTTATCTTCGAGAAACATGCTGTACGTTGTTCACTCCACCAGCCTTTGCGTAACCATCCGTTTGATCTTCTCAGTTGTAGTAGAAGTCAAACGTTCAGCGCCAGGCATGATAGCGGCTAGAAAATTGAATCGAACAGTTCTTTCGTTCCTCGCATAGACAACTTCCTGTTCAGTAGTGAGGTTTGTTTTAAACACAGCCCCTAATGATTTTTTTCTTCTATTCATTTACAGAGATCGTGCGATAGAGCTATTGCAGAGGAAAACCTCAACTCAGCATGAGAAATGCACTTTCCGGAAAAGTGCGTTTATGCATTCAATCAGATTGGAAAAAACTTGGCAGTATCTGCGTTAATAAACTAGTAAATATATGGCTTGAATTGAGACCACAGAGATTTCTCGTTTAGTGGCAGTTCAGGGGGGTGATGGGAAAGATCTTCTGAAGCAGTTCTACTGGCTGCCCGAAACGAAAAGCGGTCTTTGGAAATAAATAAATGACACAACGAATGAGTGAATGCGATGATGAACCGCGTGAATGAAGCACCTAGTGAATGAACAAACAGACAAATCACATGTAACGAATGGAAACTGTGTTTAGTTACAATGTGTCAGTTGAAAAGCATCAGCTGAAGCACACCGGCTTGCCCATCGATCGGTTCATCAGCCTTGTATGGAGTAAAGTAAACATACATAAATTCAACGCCAACGCATTTCCTCAGACGATGCTTCCCTTTTGGGCTGCATGTTCAAGTGGAAAACAAATCAGTGACTCGCCGACTTTGTCCCACGCATAGAAATGCGACAAAAATCGATATTCGTTACGAGGAACTGCCGTTTCCTTTTCCGACAGCCTCTTTATGTATCCAATGAGCGATGAGTTGGCGCAGCACAGCGAGAGTGGTCGTTAAAGTCTGTGCATCTGTGGATGGACATCGACGGATGAAGATACCTGATGATCATTCGTGAGGCTATGAGTCGCTGGATCGGTGATACCGAAACGAGGCGGCAAGTTTGGGATGAACAGGAGTAGATTTGGAGGCATGCTTACTTTCTTAGCAAAAATTGGTCAGCATTGCCAATAGCCCGGTCAGACCGGCTTGAAGAGCTAATGGTGAAAAAAGCATCCTTTGCCAGCTCACAGCTGATTCACGGAAAATTAGTCGTTGTTAAGTCGGTATTTCTGCGCCGAGGAAGCGGAACCTCTTCCCTATACCTGCGTATCAATAATGCTTACGCGTTTATCAAGTGAAAATTCAATACTTGGCCTTGATTACCCCTCGTTGTGTGAGATTGTCACTGTGGCTCTAATTGTGCGGGTTTAATGAGCTAAGCATCCGTGAAGGGGTGGAATACAGCTGCTCCCAGAAGTTCAAGTTTCAGCG